CAAATATTTCGAAGCTCATAAATAGAACAAGAAGCGTTATCATGTTGTGACGGTAATGCCTATCGATGATGTTCGTTTAAATTAATTCGTATTAATGCTTCGCAAACTGTTAGATAAATATTAGCCAACCAGTTGGTGGTAAAAAATTTTATACAGCGGGGAAACGGTATTTATTCTTTATTACATAACAATTTAATAAATTTTATATTGCTGACGGTAAAAAGAGGATTTTTTTTCGAAAGAATTTCTTTGAAGACATACTTTCATATTCCCATCAACCACTGACCCACATGAGAGTTTCTGATATTTCTTAATTGATGTATATCCGTTTGAAAATTATAATTTTTCAGTAACTAAATGTTAAGCCGGTGCAGAACAACAGAAAAATGTCAGATTTACAGTTTCTTTTGTAAACCGAGTTCCTATTTTTATAGGTACCTGTTTGACCAGTTTTTATTTGGGCAATTGCAATGTATTATCCTTCCCAGGTATGTGGGTGAAGCCTGAAGAATGTTTACGGTAATTGCTAGACCTAATCGCACCTATCTTTAAGACGTTAAAAGGTCTACGGATTGGTGAATAGCGTCTCAAAATAATGCTTGTTGAATTACCCGTACCGTAAAGTACTGGTATACGTCGAAATAGCAGATTTTCAAGCAATTACCTTAATATGTCTTCAGAAGAGATATACGTTTGAATTACTTAAAGATCAAAGATACAAATTCAAAATTGTTATTTACAGTTGCTGTCAGAAAATTGTTTGCTGTTGCGTAAATTAAACACAGAAAAATGTATAGTGTCCCTATGAGTTACTTGTATAACTTTTCGGATTTGTAAAAATGCTTGAAAGACTGCTTTATGGGTTGTATAAAATTTCACATTATAATGCACGTATAGCGAAACGTTCCGTACTATCTGATATTACACGTGGATATTTTGAGGATAAGCATCGAAAACTAAGAAATTAACTTCAGCTTAAGTATAATGTAGTATTATTGCATAACGATTTTGCGAAATATTATTTTGGTATTATTTTTATATATATGTACATGTATATATACATATATATATACATATACCCTCTGCAATTCGAGAGATATATGTTTTGATGTTATTACAATATTATCGTGTGATTATACATCAATACAATTTGTTCTTCTCGAAAATTAATAAATATTATGTAGGAATTATTGTTCCAATTGGTATTCGTATCTCGCAAATTAAATAGTTTCTACCTGTTAGTCGAGAAATGACGTTTTAAACTTATAGTATGAAGGATATAATACAATGTTCAGAAACGTTTCATTTAAATTATAACGGGACGCAAGAGCTGTCTCAAATATAGGAATAATAAAATTGAAAGTGATCTTGCGTAATGCTGACAGGCACATTCAACGTTCTATACGTGTTGCTCGCAATTACCATTTATTCGATGTCAAGAAAAAAAAGAAGAAAACGTTACATAGACACCTGTGTATAAATTCAATCGTACATATATAAAACAAACATATATAAAAAAGGAAAAGTATTAAGTATTTCATATTGCTTCTTTGTACAGGTGCATTGGATAAATGCAAATATAACGTTTGCATGCACGGTATGGAGTATGTATGTCTACTCGTTTGGCATTGGTCCATAGTAGATATATCACGTTTCTTTTCTTACGTCTTGCGTTAAAATTTTGTAGCTACACATATTTTAGAATCACGACATGGTCGATTAAACATAAGATTGCTATGAATACAACGAAAATGAGGTTATTATTGAAAAATATATTTTCGAAGTAAATCACTTTTATGGCATTATTAATATCCGCATCAAGTGATTCAATTAGTATTATTTTAAATTGTTTAGGAAAAGATGAACGTTTCGAAATCATTACGTACATTATACACACTGTTATCTATGTATATCAATATTTGATGTATGTACTTCAATTCCCGGACTTGGCATTAATCATGAAGCATTATTATTTAATCAGGGAAAATGTTGAATGTCTAACTTCCATTTCTCTTCTATCGAAACTATGATAGCTTTTTTATTTTAATTTTGACATTGTTTACCAGTTTGGAGATTTGTTACCTTCTTGAAATAAAATACAAATGCTAGCTCGGAGTTTTGTTGGTTTATACACGTGGGTCGCGACATTTTTCTGTGTAACTTCTACATTTAAGGATATTAAATATACGTATCTTTTCGCAAAAACAGATTATCGTAATAGATAAACTTACACGGCTCTTAAAATTGTATATCTTTATAATTTGTACATTTTCTAAGAAACGTACGCTTTTTTATCAAGTATTAAATTCTCCGAAGCTTTCAGGAGATTGCATAAAAGACACGGTGTCTATTTTATAAAAATAATCATTATTTTCTAATCCCGACTTCTAATCTCGTCGAATCATTTATGTAGTCAATTCTCACACTGACAGACTTTCGGAATCGTGTGTTCGCGGGAGATCGGTTCGTTTCGGTGGGAATCGGCTCGCTTCGCTCGAGCGAACATCACGGTGCCAACACGAGCCGGAGAATTTGAAGCCGGGGCTCTCGTTGCCTGCTGTGCCTTTTCTCTTTCGTCGTATGTTTCTTTTTCTCACTCTCTTTCTCCCTCCTTTCGTCATCAGTGCCTCTCTTTTTCTTGCCATTCCACCATTTCCCTTGTTCAGCGTGGTGCCCCTTCTTGCATTCGTTCGTTCGTTCGTTCGTTACGTTGCCTAGCCCTGGGAATGCGCGGTCGCTGTACCTCTCTCTTTCTCTCGCACGGTTGCTTGCTTCCTCGCTCCCTCCGTCTCTCGCTCTCGTTCCATCTCTGTTTCACTCACTTACGCGTCTTATTGACCCGGACCCGGTTCTCTTCTCCTCTCTCTCGATTCGCCGGGTTACCTCCGACTCACCCGCCTCTTGATTGGGGGTTGAGTGGGAAGAAAGGAAGCCCGATGTACAAATCCTATGATATACATTTTCATTTTCTCTTGCCTATGCGTGATTTGAAAAAATGTAAACTTGGAAAGGTTACGCGATTTCGCGTTGTGACTTGCGCATTAAACATTTCTTGCAGAATTTGGTTTCACGTGTAACACATCAAGGGGCTTGTTGATTGTTCCCACGATATGTTTTCACATTAATAGATTTAATCTTCCTTCTTACAGTAATCAGAAATGTTCATGAAATATGCATTAGAAGTTACATTTTGTGTATAATACTGAGATTCGTTTATGACTTTACTTAACTTATATATTGTGTTATAAATAGTAATGTAATAATGTTTAAAATAACGACAAGTAATACGAGAATAATTTTATTCGCAGATTTTCGACTCGTTAATATAAGTTTTGTATTATTTACAGATTATTGGAAAAAAGTAAAGATTAATATGGAGCTTTGTCTAATACATTAATTTGTATATTTATCATACATTGTCTAAAGTAACTATTATTGTGAAAACATACATTTAAAAGAAGAGTACAGTCCATACTATCACATAACCTCCTAATAGGATATTTTATTAAGACATCAATGGAGAATTTGCATAAAATAAAAATTCACAGAATTGGGAAGTTAGCAACATTTAGAAATGGGAAAATATTGAAAGTTGGATTATTGAAATAGCGATGGTGTGTACATGCTGCTGTATGTATATGTTATGTTTTTAATTAGTTTCTGTCTAGAATCCAAGTATAATTTTGTACGATTTAAAGGAAATTACCGAAAATTCTTCCGCAACATGTTTCTTGGAGAATTTAAAAGTTCTTCCGTATCGACTGGCAAGTAACACCGAGTAAGAGTTCTTCAGTCGGTAAAGTCGACTTGACACGCAGGAAAAAGGGTGCGCGAAAAGCAGGAAGTGCCAATGTGGAGCAAATTCCAGTGGCCGTAGCAGTGTAACGAAACTAAGAAGGGTAAAAAAAGGCGCGAGAAGAAAGAGCGCACGGCGACAAGTCAGAGTTGGTGTATCTTCCTCTCCCTTTCGCTCTCTTTCTCTGCCTAAAAGTTGACCTCGAGTTTCAAGGGTAGAGAAGGGTTTGCAGTCGTTTGCCCCTCTACCTTACCAGGGACTACGAGCCATGGCTCTCGAATTCTCTACGAACGGAAGAGAGAAAGCGACGTTGCCTCGACGTCGGTAGTGGTAGTCTCCCGCCATCCCCACCACGACTATAATGTAGTTCGATTGGTTGGCGTGCTCGGGTTTTCCTTTGTGAGCGGGCGGGTGAAAGCGTGGCTTGGCAACGCTGTACGAGTTCGCCGGCGTCCGCTGGAAGGAAGGCTAAGCTCGCGCGAGTGCAACAAAGACAGAGGAACGTGGAGAAAGAGACAAACAGACAAGTAGCGAGTGAGACTTCGGGCCGAGTGGAAGGGGATCGAGTTGGAGAAAGAGAAAGAGAGAATGTACAAGCGTCCAGCCAGCCCGTCCTCGCCAGCTTCGCCCTCTGTGTGTGCGGCATCGCGTGTAGAGTCGGTGGCGAGAGAAGCAATCCGCGCGTAAGCTTCTCCATGTGAAAAAGCTATTACGCGTTCCACTACCACTGTGCATCCAGTCAGCATCGGTGTACGTATGCACGGTAAAGAAGCATTGCGTCTCTACGCGCGCGTGGTGTCGCATAGAGTGCGTAATTAGCGACGTGTGTATAAGCAAGTAGAAGGAACGTCACGTTTCCAAAGGAGAAGAACGACGATATATCTGCGTAAAACGAAACGACAGTGACGCGTATGCATGAATGAGGATAGAAAATCTTATGCCAAATACTTTTATCGGTACCACCGAGAAGAAACGCTGTGTTTCTCGAATGAAAGGCTCCATGAGTACTTAGGGGAGGGAAGAAGAGAGACAGAGAAACGCACTGTATCTGTCGATGGTGGGGAGACAGAGGGAAAAAGAAAGAGCTAGAAGGGGAGAGAGAGCGTCCTCCCCTACCCACCCGCCCGCCTTCCTCCTCTACCCGCCGTACCTACTCACGGAGCTAACGAACGGTTGAGCGTAGCGTCGAGTAGACCGCATCCCAAGTATAACGTACGTATTCACGAGGACCTTCTCCTATACAACGTGGAAAAAGCGTGTATGAAGCAGCTCGTGCAACGAGGAGTACTGGTAGTGATCGTGTAGTGCGCCGGCTGGACAAGAGAAACGTGGTGTGACGACAGTGAGAGAGCACGGTAGCGCGTGCGGTGCGTGTCGCGTACACGACGGCTACGAACAAGACTCCGTACGAATGTGAGGGTACATGTGAACATTTGTGTACATCTTCTCGTGAGAGCAAGTGAGCGAGGTAGTGCGTGCGTGCGTACGCGCGCGCGCTGTGTGTGTGAGGGAGAGAGAGAGAGAGAGAGTGGTGTGTGTGCGTGCGTATGTATGTATGTATGTGTGTGTGTATATATATATTATACGTTCATGTATGAGGGAGACAGAGGAGTGTATGTGTGTGGATGAGTGCGTGAGCGTGTAAATTCTTCGTACGTCCTTGTTCTTTTCGTTGTCGGAGGGACGGTTCGGTAAACGAGGCTGAAGTGACAGACAGACCGTCCGCGTGTACGATATGTCGGAACACCACCGCGTAGCCGGTGGCTGGGGTACACCGAGCCCAGGAAGTCGCGAGGATGGCTCCGGTGGTACCGCCTGGTGGCCTCCGGGTTTAAACACCGTTTCGGCCGAACAACAACAGCAACAACAACAAAATCTACATCAGCACCTGATGAATCAACAGCAGCAACAACAACAGCTATCGCAACAACAAGCGCAGCAACAACAGCATCATCAGGATATCGTTAGGAGTACAGCTGCAGCTGCTGCTACCCAGCAGCTTTTCTCCTACAAGATGGCCTCCAGCTTTCAGAACCCAGCCACTACGGGCACACAGTCGAATCCCGTCTCCACGTCTTCGCCGGTTGGCTCCTGCATGAGGGGAGGCTATGATTATAGATTAGGAACGGGGCCCGGATCAGGCGGAGGTGTACCAGGTACACCTTCTGCACCACCGCCTGGCGTACAGTGGTGGTACACAGGTGGAGTTATGGACGCCGGACAGAACAACCTGCATCAGCAATTGCAGGGCCAACAACAGCAGCAGCACCTCTCGCCCATTACCACACAAACGTCCACGCCCCCCGTTATGTCCCCGGTATGTTGCGACCACGATCGACCCCCTTTTATATGCTTCCTCTTTTCTTGTCGTTGCTTGCTTGTCACTTTTATTATTATTATTTTTTTCTTGTTTCTTTTTTTATGTCCTATACGTATACATACAATTTTTTTGCTTACTTTTAGTTGCGCGGGATTCTTCCATGCACCTGAAAGAAAAACCTGGTCCGGTCATAATGTTTCGTATCATTCGATCTCGCAATGCTTTTTAACTCTTCATTTTTCAAGTTCTAATTCGCAACACAGTTGCGGTTTACAATTACTGTTCACTTTTTCGGTTTTTTTTTTTTTTTATTTCGTAGATAGATTCGGAGGCCTTTCCATTTCTTTGGTATTGGTTCGAAACACGCAACTCATGGTTTTCTAGCATTTTATTTTTTGTAGCATCTTCGATGATATGTATATTAATAAGCGCAACCAAATATTTAGCTTTTACGATATTTTTATTTTGAAGATCATTAATGGGTTTTCAACTATCCGAGCAAGCATCAGTATCTCGCTGAATCTTTAATGTCGAAATGAATAACTACGACCGCAGTAACAGTAATTATGACAACACGCGACAGATTGTCAATGTCTTATTAAATATGTATAACATTTCCATAAGAATACTCGTTTAATTCTTACTTTTATTTTGTTCCGCCGTAAAAGATTTTGATTGCTTTACGTATTTTACTTGATGCGGTTATTCGGTGACTTCAAAAATCATATTAGATTCTCACTCCATTGTAGTAGATGATAATTTTCCTGAATATTTTTGAAGGAAATAGTTCTTACAGGGAGGACTGCTACTATTTGCAATATATATTATAAAATGTGTAAAAATGATACGTTCAATATGTACTACTTCATATTTTGCACGAATTTCAATTCTTGAATATCAATTTTTCGTCGACTGGCAATGATGAGCTACCCCTTTTATAACAAAAAATTCTTTCATCGTTATTCCACGTTTACTACATATAATTCTCGACAGCCAGACTAGTTAAATGTTATCGGTTTCGTTGTATTTAGAAAATCTTAATAACCGATTCTATCGTGCCTGCTTTCGCACTACCGTCTGCGTTTCATCCTGACTCGCGTCTCTTGCCCCACCGACCGTTGTCCGCTATTGATTCCGGGTTTCGTGCAGCCTTCTTCGTACGTACGTTCGTACGGTGGCTCTTGCCGCGCCGGGCCTGGTTCCCTTCCTTTTTTCGATTACTCTAATCGACATCATTTAGACACGAACTATTCTTACACAATTTTCATCAAAATTAAGAGAACTCTATTTCTCTTTCATAACGAACAAAGAATTTTATGTCTTGCAGCTTGTAAGGAATTTGAAAGTCGTTTTTCAATTTTGCTAGATTTATTCTTAACCACTCAAAATTAGAGATAAGAATTTCGATAAATGAAAAACTCTCTATCATAAAGAAAGGAAAATTCGTACAACTTCTTCCTGTTTGAAAGGAAAGAAGTGTATATTCTTTTTCCCTTCTATGTTTTAATTTATGATGAGATATTGGAATTTCGATTAACCGTACTTTTGCTGTAAAAAGAAGGGAACTCTGTCTTCATTTTAAAGTGAAGGAAAATACTATTTTTATGAAATGTCTGAGAGCATGGTAATTAGTTTTTAAAAGGAAATTCTGTTTTTCGGACATTATGATGGGTATATACGTTTTACGGTTGTGTGGTTTAGTCGTTCATAATTAGATACAAAAATTCCGATCAATAGTCGCCCTGTGTGCTATGAAAAGAGGCAAACTTTTTCCCCTGTTTAGAGGCGAATGAAGGATTCTATTTTTCAGATATTCTGAAAGCCTGAAAATTCACTTTATGGAAACTTGTATCTGTATGCCTACGTGTCTTTCAGAGGTTCCGAAACAGGAAAATTATTTTTCTTAACTTTCTAATCTACATTTTCATCGATAGACATGTTTAAAAAATTTGTAGAAAATTATTTTCACACTTGCAGAAAAATACGAAATGTCTGCTTAATGAAATATTTAATTTCCGATTTATTCTTTATCTTTCGATACTTAACTTCGGTTCGCTTTTCTATAAAGTAAATTCAATGCATAAATCGTAATCAAAATTTAGATTATTTCACTAGTCGAGTAGTCGCTTTCTTTTACATATTTTTTTGCATTTTGCCCTCACATTCAACATTCGTTTAACTACTTACTCGATCTGAAAGTTTAATTCGAATAATTTAATAATTTATATTTCTATCGCATGTTTAACGATTTTCAGTGTTCCACGGTTACGTTCTACTATAATTAGAGAGAACCTCATGCACTAAGTAATACAATTTAATGTTAAGTCTCTTTATTCTGTACCTCTTAATGGGAAACATAATTATCAGTACATGAATTATTTAAGACCTAGGAATTGAAAACAGACGATCCTGCTTACATCGCGTACGTATACAGATTCTGCTAACTAGACTTTGACTGCTTCGAGCCGTAACACTTTTTGCAGGAATAACAGTTGCCTATATAAACATTCTTGTCTTCGAAACACAGTCCTGTGACAAATTGAAATTCCTACGAAAATGTCAACAAAGTTACTGTTGTATTACGATATACAGCGTGATCTGAGAGAAAAGATTGAAGCAGAAGAATCGCTATAATATTTACCCTACCATACTTTTTTTGTATACTATGTTCCATGTATTAGAATGTACATTTATCGTGCTTCTGATTTTTCTGTAATATCGACAATATTGACTAACATTTTTAAATATAAACATTCTTATTTTTAATAAAAATTCTTATTTTTATATTTAAAGGAAGGAAACTTTGGAACTTGAAGTTATTCGTTATTAAAGAGTACACGATTATACGGAATATTGAAAATGTATATGGAGCAATATTAAAACCGGGACTCGAATGAAAGTTCGGATCGAAGTCTGTGTCTATCAGGTCCGGAGAGAAAGTCGGAAAGTGGTCCGAAAATTTAAGATTACGGTGATAGAGGTAAATGGAGGGGCTAGTTGTACATTCTTTTACATATGTGAGAAGAACGAAATTTTTTGATTGTTAGAAATTTGGTAAAGGAAGATGAGGTATTCGTCGTACAAAAATATGGACGTTTGCTATTCGATTTTAAAAATAATCTAGGTTCGTTGCTTCGAGTTTATCTTCGCAATATGTATTATGTGACTCATCTTTCCCAGAAGTGTTCCTATTATGTAGCAAGAGTGATAAATTTCATTTTAATTGAACGTTCAAAGGGAGGCTATTGTATCTTCTGTTCTTTTTCGAGTTGTATCGCTGGTGTTTTTGTTTGTACTTTTGGTGATTACTTCAGTTTTCTGATAAGTTATCACTTATTTTAGTTTAGTGCTTATAATCTGGGAACGGTTCAGATATATTTCAAGATGAAAGAAGTTATACTTCGGCGTAATAAGGAGGAACTTAAAATTTTATTATTATTCATGGCAAGCATATTCCAAAACGAATTAATCTTTCATTTGAATTTTCTAGAATCATTTAACATATGTACATGTTATCAATTGAATAATGAATACGTGGAGAATTCATTATAATTTTATAGTCACTATAGTATCGTTGACGTAAAATAAAGTATTATAATTAGGAATTATAAATGAATATTCATAAATATATAAATGTGAATTTTTCTGAAGGCTATAATGCTAACCAAATATTGTTACAGGCATTGTGGGAGAGGGTTTATTTCAATTTTATAATTATTAATGATAATGTATTCATCACAAATATTGAGACAAGATGATCGAAGGGAGGAGTTAGTTAGAAACTATAAATACTAAAAAATCCTAACTTGTTCTAAGAACAAATATGTTACACGTGTTAACTGTTTACCGTTACAACTATCACGGATGTAACAGTACTGTCATATTATTTACATTTCAATGAGTTTTTAGTAAATTACTTCAATATTTTATAAACTCGTCGATATCGTTTTGTCATTACTTTTTGTCGTTATTTTAAACAAGGTCGATATGAACATTACTGTGTATTTCAAATACAAAACAAATGTAGTAAACATTTATAGAAGTTAGCCATGCGTTGCAACTATTTCTCGATACGTACATACCTACATGTTTCCTCTTACACTCTAATGCTGAGAGCAATCAGATCATTTCAATTGATTCTGAAACAATAATGAGTATGATACATATTTCAGTTCGGCATTCAAGTGAAGGAGAAACGTTAAGGTTATTTTTTTAAATCGATAAAACTCTTATCGATAATATATTTTAAACCAATGATATATATTTCCATACTGAATTTCACGTACCCATTGTTGATGTATTTAACCTGAATTGTTATTTTTTCAGAATGGATCTACAATATGTCATGAACTACTAAAAATTTCATTCTATTCTCCAAATGGATATATTCTTTATATAAAATGTCCGTAACATATAACTAATATACATAGAGTGTAAAATACTTTAATTAAAGTATTTAGATAAAATTACTTTCATATTTTATATCGTACTTGATGTAAAAATTGTTTGAATTTGTCAAACACTATTTTCAGAAGGTTTATATGTTATTTTTCTTGTTTATACGTTTTTGTTTACTCAAGTCTCACTAGAACATTGACTTCACAAACACTATTCAGCATTAGGCATATGTATGCAGTATACACGTATTACTAACTAAAAACTATTAGATTCGAATGAATAATTCATATAGATAAGTTCATAAATGATAAACAGTATTATAACATATATACAGTATTATAAAATACTTGCACGCATTGCTTTCATGCGCTAATATTATTTTAGTCCACAAAGCAACGCCTTGCATGTAAAATGGGAAGTTCGTTAGACATGTAAACTTTTATTTCTGAGAATATTTATAATAAAAATAGAGAATGCGTGACCAATATATCGCACGTGATATGGTAGTAATATATGGAATTAATATAAATTATGTACGTACATTTCTATACGGGTTAATTAATTAATTCATATTTTTAAGAAATACGTTTCTTTAATTAAAAAAGTCACGTATGCTACAAATGACTCCAATCCTTACACTGTATCGATTACATGAATATTCCGAATGCATCGAAGAAATTCAATCAGCACGAATCACTTGCAGAAAAAATACGATTAACTCTCATAACACACCTTAATTGATAGAGAAAGAATTCAATACTTTCGAATATTTAAAATAGTTGAAAATAAATTGATTTCACTATTCAAGTATTAAAACAATGGGAATTATTGAAGCAGATTGAATTTTATTAGTCTACTAATTCTATTAATTTTTTTATCTAATCCAAATATCAAATAGTTGGATTCGTATAAATCGAGTTATCAAAGTTGTTTAAATAGGTCGAATTCACTCAGGCAATTTAATATATTCATCAAGCACTCGGGAAACTTCAGTTTGGAGTAAACATTGTCAGAATTTGAAATGAAAGAGAATTACGTATATACACCGAAACGAAATCACTAAAATTTTCTAACTCCAAACCAAAGAGAACATTTTTAGTTTTCCGGTGCCAATGATATTATTATGAACAATTTAAATTCTTCGGTTACAATGGACATGGACGGGTATTTTTTGGGAGGGAATATCCTTTCAAAGCTGATATTAATGAATATCTAATAATTGTAGACACATCGAGTAGTAATTTTCTTAATTTTTTTTAATTACAGCACCAGTTACAACAGCTAACGCAGCAACAAAATAATCTTCAGCAAAATAACGCTCAGAGCTTGCAACAGCGAGACAATATGCCGAGGGGAAAAGATTCGAAGCCAAGAGGACGGATGACCGCATACGCATTCTTTGTGCAAACATGTCGCCAGGAACACAAAAAGAAACATCCAGAGGAGAAAATTGTTTTTCGAGAATTCTCCAAAAAGTGTGCAATGAGGTGGAAGGTAAGCGAATTATGTTTTCAACAAATATTCAAACGTGATTAACGAAAACAAAATATTTTATTTTTAATGTGACAAAAAGATTCTCTGAAGATGCTTAGATTTTTAAAAAGGTGTTCATATTCGACAACAATTCTTAATAATTTTAGTAACATAAGTGCAGGTTTCAGATCATCAAATAGTATTATTTTTCTGTTTCTTTGAGTACAATATTTTAAAAGAACGAATACTCGTTCTTCTTGAATATTTATTATTTTCTTTGAAGCGAGAACTAAAAATATCTGTTGACAATTTATAGAATAGTAGGTATATTCGATTGAACCAAGCAGAGAGCAATTTTATTTACTTACATCTGATATTACGTTTGTTTCCTCATTTGTGAAATGTATATTTATTGAAAGTTGTTTTAAAAGGAACATTATTTAAATATTGAAACATATTCATGATTCGGTATCATACGACTTTGATGATATACAAAACCACGCGATAAAGAAAATTTAGTGAAAGCTCCGAGTATGTAGTATGACCTTCTTCAATAACATATGCAACATTGAATTTCAAAGGTTAGCCACGAGTAAATTACCATTTTTCTAATGGAACATCGTCGTTCACGGTTTTAAATAAATTTTCCCCGAAATTAGTTCGTTGAACGTATTTCAGGAAATCATAATGGTTTCTGACGTTGTTCACTACATAACATTAATAACGTTTACGAAATATTAAAATAGAAATAAAAATAAATATAAAAATAATAAGAACGAAATAACGACAGTTGATACGTCATACTCGAAGAGTGAATCTGACGTATCGAATTCATGAATGTAAATAGCTCGAAAACGTAGAGGCAATATACATTATATCATCAATATCTAAATCACGTTTGATCTTCGATTACATGAGTTTTACTTAATTCAAGTCATGAAACTAGTTCAATGTAGGTAGATCAAGAATATTTAGGATTAACAGTTATCGTATACCTGCACCGACTATCTATAATCCTGTCACGAGTGGGATTAGAGTCGGGACCGGTTTACAACAAGAAATCGTTCTATAGAATTTGTCCCTTACATATAATGAGCAAGCCGTCGAAGGTTAAAGCCATGCCAATTACACGTACATCCTTTGCAAATGACTGGATTCTTTGTATTCCTACAATAACTGTTTTAAGTAAAATCACTTTTATTTGTATTGGCGAAGGTATCGAATAATTAAATAGAAATGACTTTGTTAGCACGAGAAGTAAAGATTAAAAAGCAGACGTTAAAAAATACTTTTTTCTGAGGTATAATTAATTTTGTCTGCGGATCAGTCTGCCGAGAATGATTGTCAAGTTTAGAGTTGCAAATACTGTTATCAGTGTCTTTCTTTTACAGGTAAATAATAATATTTATGATTGAATGAGTCGGCTTGACATTGGGATCACCGCATGGAAAACATCTAACAGAAAGAAAACGATAACACTACTTGGAATTCTGAACTTAACGGATATTCTCGCTTAACTTTGTTGGAAACAAAATTAGTTAGTTATTCGAAAGGAAACGTTTCTGAACGTTCATGTGATTCTTTTGTCGTTAGGGTGCAGCAAAAGTTTAACTGCTTATACATTCACAACATTCATAACATTCTACATATATTTAATATATAATATTTAGGTGGTGCTTACTTTTGTTGGAATTGAATATCGTACCTTATGCTCAGTTAGCCAAAGTAAGACTTAAGTGAAAGTATGGTTTCTAAACGGTATAACATGTATATTATTGTTGGTATTTTATATATTTTTGTATTTGTGTGCATTCTCATAGATTTTCTCATAAACATCCGCAGTCTACACATAACTTTGTTGAATCATTTCCATCACAATTTTATAAAACGACATTTTTCGAGGAATCGAATACGTCCAATTGAATGATGTTTTTACAGTGAATATTTTACTTTATTACATTTATGTTCGTTTAAATTCATGAAAGAAGACTATTGAAGTTTTCAGAACGGTTCGTATTCGAGTGAATTTTCTGTTGATATAATAAAAGGGACATTTGTATAAACGCGTGTATATTATGAACTTTAAGACGAATGAAGAAATTCAGACATATTTTTTCTGCGGAAGAACTTGAAAATGTGAAAGGACGTCATTATGAACAGGTGCCACTCTAACATCTGGCTATCCCACCCCTCGGAAAGGGAGATACTTTCTGCGCACTTTTCTTATGGACTACAGGCCACATGGTCTTTAGAAGGATTAAAGGCGCTGACCTTCCGGTTATCGTGGTAAAATGTCTTAGCAACTGCAAAGTTTTAGGGCGACATTTCGTGAATGTCTCGTACTGAAACATATGTGACTACAATTCTTGAAAGAAACATTTTAGAATTTGTTAATAAATTACTTCTAGTATCTTCTTGTATATCATTAAGTAATTATTATATTACTTATACATTTAGAATGCATGTACAAAAAAACCTGCAAAACAACATGATAACTAACAAACATTACATATGCTTTGGATGTGCCTGCTTAGTCTATCATTATCTTTTTTCATTTTAATTCTTCAAAGAGACAATAAGGCTAAGTTATACGGGAAGTAATTAGACTCACTTAACTCGTTGTATTTGAAATGTAAAAACGATTATTTCTTGTAATAACAAATGAAGATATACAAACGGTCTACAAAAGGAAATGGAAATATTAATTTACATTTCTTACTTTGTTCTGTATATTGATATTCTTACTCCAATCATACGACATTGTCGTTTTCTTTGCCGTAACATTGAAAATTTCTACTAAATATTATTTATTTCTTTTATCGAAAATATTTCACGTTTTTCAGCGTGACAGAGAGTAACATGAATTTTTTAAACAATTTTTAGACAGCATCTATACCGCTTCAGCCCTGTCTTTATCGACCAATCCACCCAAACCTAAAGCTCACCCTCCTCGGTCTCCTTGATTCACGGTATATGAAAACCAATCCCGCTCTTCGTTTACTAGAAATCCACTACTACATTTCCAATCCTTGATATCCGACGATAATCAATTCGGTAAGCAGTTTGTCTCACTCAACAAAAATGGTAAAAATATTAATATTGAAATGGTAAAAATTACAAAATTATCTTAAAAATAACCGTCATATTTAAAAAATGTAAACATATAAAACTGTTTGATCGATAAAATTGCGTATCTCTGCGTCATTAGAATAATAATAATGGGTCAAGAAAAGGAAAAAATTAGTATAATAAATAAACTTCATTAATATTTTGCATATATCTTACAATGTTTACGAGTAACTGTATCTCGATTATATTTTGCATCCATATTCATTAAATAATAAAATGTTAACACATTGTAACTAACTTTAGTTTTACATATTTTATGATTATAGACTATGTCAGATAAAGAAAAGAAACGTTTCCATGAAATGGCAGAAAAAGATAAGAAAAGATACGACGCGGAAATGCAAAACTATACACCACCGAAAGGCGAAAGTAAAGGCAGAGGCAAAAAACGTAAACACATCAAAGATCATAATGCTCCCAAACGATCTTTGTAAGTAGACATAATAAAATTAAATATCTTTAATAATACAATAAAACGTAATATCATGAAATAATGTTTGATTAGTTTTAAATATTGATGTGTTTCTTTTAATTCGTAAAAAATAATTTCTAAACATTTTACTTTATTTCATTCTTTAGATCTGCCTTCTTCTGGTTTTGTAATGACGAACGCGGAAAGGTAAAAATGCTAAATCCCGAATTTGGTGTAGGAGATATTGCCAAGGAACTTGGTAAGAAATGGTCAGATGCAGATCCTGAAACCAAATCGAAATATGAGGCTATGGCAGAACAAGATAAAGCTCGATATGAAAGGGTATGTATAGATATTACTTTCTATATTTTATTATTTTCTATCTCCTTATTTTCAAAGTTGTACTGTTATAAATTGTCGAATATCAAATTGATATGAAATTAATTGTATTAAAAGTTCTTATATGGTATTGTATTATCTATGTATTATGTAGGAAATGACTGCGTACAAAAAGAAAATGAAGGATGGTGCACCTGTAGTAGCAAATCCAGTGAATACCATAAAAAGTGACAGTGAAGAAGAGTATAAAGAAGATGACGAATAGCGGATACACGACAAAATTTCATCTATCACCCCGTGTCCTTGATCCTGAAAGCATACCTCACCTACTGTACGTACCATTGACCTTAGCGTGAGCGTACTTACACCACTAGGAAAACAAATAACTAATCACCAGTCCCCGATTATTTACAATAATAATTAAATTACCGCGATTATAATAATTATTTTAAAATTGTATGTATGAGAGAGATGCGAGAGAAGATCGAATGAGTGACATTTGTATTTTAACATATTGATAGTATCATGTAAAATGGAGTAGGATAGCAGAATGGAAAGATATGGTGCCCACTTTCTATCAGGTGGAAGGCGCAGGGGCTCAATCATTGTTGACATTGTCTCCAGACTATGTTGAAAGCTAACATAGTTAAAAATCGTGAAACAGGATACGGCGGCTCCATAGTTGGGCGGTATCACTCGATATAGTTTGATATTTATCAGTTCAGTTCATTCGTTGCCAGTTGTAAGAAGACTTATTGTATATCTTTGTACAGAACATTTCTTTAAATCAAATCTGTCGCAGGTGGGGCATGGGGCTGCTTTGTATGAATGTAATTGATTTAAGTACGTGTCGTATAGTTGTAAGTATTAGGATAAGTATATTTTAATGCAACTTCGATTCTACATCTGCGTCAACATGTGATAGTTTCCACTAACAATGTATTCTAAACCAGGAGATTGAGCCTTATAGCTTATAAGTAATTGGAATCTAAACAAATATCTAATTCACAACTTTTCTAAATCAAAAATTGGGACGATAAAACCCAGCCATGGAGCAGTGGTATTTCGAAGTCCTATAACCATATATAAAGTGAATAATTTTTATTCATTAGAAAGCTAAGGATCGAAACCATTCGATTTGTTTCATGAAATAACTGATACAAATTTTACTTTTATGTTGTCTTAAGAATTATTATAATCTCAATTTTTTATAATTATATAAAATAATGAATTTTTGTTCTTATCGAAATCAATAGACAGTCGTCAAAGACAGACCAAACTAGAATTGTACTTTGAGTTTTAGCTGATTCAAGTAGTCCCTGCCCTTACCATCGCCATCCTCCCTCTCATATTCATTTTCCAATAAAGGAAATACGTTAAATCCTTTCAGAATCATGTGATTCCGTTCATTGTTTAAGAAAGTAAGATAGGACGTGTCTTGTACTGCCTCGAGTCATCTGGTGTACAGCAGGCTGTATTATAATAAATTATTGTGGTTTCTTGTAATATTAACATTCCTAGATCCTAGTATGTACAGATCTTAATCATTGAGATTAGAGCCAACTGTGTAAGAAGCATACCAAAAAAACAGGCTAGGTAATGCAGATGTGAATTTCGTGGCCAAGATTGGTATGCAAAACGAATATACAAGAGGCTTTGTTACGGTCAGACTGACTTGCACCTTGATTTGGCTCAGCAGGTAACCACTACTTTTTGACATAAAGCTTTTCATCTCCCCTGCACATTGTCATGTAACGGATAATTGTATGATTATATAAGCAAAAACCTGTTTTAGAGGGAGCTAGAGGACGAATACTGTAAAATATGAAATTGTAATATTTTAATACTGATTTGCAGATGTGCATAATTTTAACATAGCTGGTTAAAATGAATTGTACTGATACGAAGGTATCCATTTGATGGAGATAAATAATAAAAACAGATATTGAAAATTACGACAGAATTTTCTGTATTATTATAGAGGAATTATAACAGTTATAAAAGAAATGTTTGTTTTGTATATCTCTTAGGATAAATAAACTTTTCAAAAAATATGTGAATATGTTTCTGGTACTGCTCCAAACCTGTTTTTAAGCATTTACATGCTCAGACTATTTAATTCACAAAGCAGTACTAGACTTAGAGTACTAACACTTATGATATTAATATAAAAGTAAGTATATACGATGTGCATTTGTTTATGACATGAAGTATCATTTTACACAATGCTTTCTTATAGTATGGAGGATAACTTCTGCATCTTACACATTTGTACTGGTGCTAATCGCATATGAATTAGCAATTAATTCAAAATTGGAAGTAATGTGTTAACTTGTTTCATGTTATACACATTACATGCTTCAGCGCAAACGGACATTACTGTACTTTTTTATATGTATTTCATACGTTCAAACAATTTTCTATTATTTTATAAGCATCACCATAGATTATAAATGTACCATTGACATAGTAGTCTTATCAATAAATCAATAATTGTTACTCTTAGTACAAATTTCTTAATTTATATATCTACTGGAACAATTCATCAATTATGATATAATGTGCATAACGAATTGAAACGTGTAACAGATACTATTTATTTTTTTTTATATTCCCATTGTAATAAACTAACGGACGAAATATAAGAACCACATTTATTGTTGCCTTTAGTTAGGGTCAAGTGTATGTTAAATATGACTGATTGAATAGAAACTGAATACTTTTGTGGATATCTTATTTAAATATTAAATATGGTTATATTAATATAGGGTTCATTGTAGATGAAAGCAGACAATATAACATATTCAAGTAGCTTTTGCTAGGGGGCATTAGAAAGAAAAATTTAAAATTATGTTTAATTCAAAATCAAAGAAAATAAATCTTTATAAATGCTGTCTCTACGTTTTTTTAATTTGTATAATATGTGTAATAATATTGTGGTTTAACACACGATTTAATTTTAAAATTCAGTAGCTAAGGTTAAAGGTGAGTGCAAGTTCCAATTAGATCCATTCAGTTCTGATAATAACTGCTAATAACTCTATCATCATCTCTGAAGAAACTTCACGCATTACTGCATATTTATATGCTATGGTTTTACTTTAAAATATACTTCTCTAAAGTTTTTTTAATTTCTGAATCAATACAAAAATTTATTTATTATTTCTAATAACAATGTATTTACATGAATACTTGAGTTAAATATTTACGTTAAATGAATATTAACAGAGCAAGTTAAGAATTGAAAGATTATATAAATATAAATGAATGTTAAAAATTAAAAAATAATGTTCAGAGAACGAGGCTTAAACTTCAGAACAAAAGAAATTCGCTCACAGTACCATCTATCGACGCAAATGGTGAACTGCAACATTGACCGGGTTCGGAAATTCGTAGTTTCGAAAGATATAGTTGTCGTTTTGTTTGCGTTCAGTCTTTAACGGTTGCAAGAAGGACTTTGAAGGACTTGTATTTGAACGTTAAATGTAAGGAACTCAATAGCCGCCGAACGGTCATCATATACGTTACAGGTCGGTTGAACGAGCAACTCTAATGACTTAAAACAGCGATATTTAAATGTACGTCGAAGAATCTTAATAATCCACATTACTGTCAGAAGCTATTCTCATATATCTCCGTTTTGTAAGGTAGGTTCGAATTTTTAATGACGAATCCTTTCAACTACTATACTCTGACAAAGTTACAAATCTGTTGTCACAGAGCAAAATCTGTTGCATTTTCTTATTCGTTTTATCAAGCATTAATTATCATTCTAGAGTAACGTATTCGCATTTCTTTACACATCTACGAAAACCGTTGATATTTGAATACATTGGCATATATGAAATTTATTTACTCTGTCTGTTATTTATAAAATTTTTCTCTCTTTTTTATAAATATGATAAGTTTTCATGACAGTTATTATGAATTATATCTATCAATGACATATATAATAAGCTAACTTAGTTATTCACCAACTGTTCAATATATCAATCATAATGATTGTATTTATTTTGTTGTGTCAAATCAAATACTATATTTGTATTGTATGTTTAAATATTTTATACCATCAACCTCAAAGAAATTGAGTGTTCCATGGTTAATCTTCAGATAAGGTATACAAAATTTTGTGAAGAAGCTTAAAAACACATTTAAATTAATCATCTCTATAGGTCCTAAAATATGGAACAAGATACAGAGTATATTAAATTACCATTAGAAGAACGATGTGTACATAAGGTAATATGTTTCAATATAGCTTTCAGCTTTTACTTCAATAGCAACTATATTTGTAATTATGTTTAATAAATTGATTTTCTGAAACATTAATATTATCTAGTTATGGAGAGCACGTTTACATGGCTATAAAGAATGTGTGAACACGTTTCAATGTATTGATGATGAAAAGTCTCCTGAGTGGAACAAGTATTTAGGATTTATTAAGAAGTTTGTAGTAGATAACAATGCTGCAGCACAAGAAAAAGGATTGGAGGCAGCATTGGCTTTTATTGAAAATGCTGCAGTTGCAGGAAAGTAAGTGTTATATAGAAAAATCCATTTATCAGTTTGCGCCTTGTTTAGTGCTACCATTGTGTTGAAATAGTTTTTCAATATGTATTTTTTTGATATAAAGTAATTTTATAATTTTTAATATCATTGCTTATATGTAATTTTGTAGGACTGTTGGTGAAGTTATGAATGGAATTGTCACTAAATGTATTGCTGCGCCTAAAGCTAAAACAAAAGAGTTGGCAGTACAAATAACATTGATGTACATAGAAATTGAAAAGCATGAAGCTGTTCAAGAAGAATTGTTAAAAGGATCTGAAGCAAAAAATCCAAAAATTGTTGCAGCATGTATTTCCACTTTAACTCTGGCCTTAAGGTAATTACATGTTATCTGTATCATCAACTATTCCAAATATAATATAATATAAGAAAAACATTATACTTGCAGGCAATTCGGTCCTAAAGTAATTAATATAAAGCCTTTGATAAAAAAGATGCCCAGTTTTCTTGAAGACAGAGATAAAACAGTCAGAGACGAAGGCAAATTCATGGTTATAGAAATTTATAGGTATTTTCTTAACATTCAGTATTTCTCAATTGAGACCTTAATAATATGGATATTATATTTTGTGTAACATTTTTCTGAAATATTCAGGTGGATAGGCGCACCTTTAAAACAACAATTAAATACACTAAAGCCAGTACAAATCGCAGAATTGGAAGTAGAATTTAATAATTTGAAAGAAGAGAAGGTTGTACCAATGCGTTTTCTGAAATCTCAAAAACCAAAATCAATATGTGTTGTAGATTCTGTAAGTGAAAACAGTGAAGGTAAATATATAAATTTTAAATTGTCTGACAGCTTTTTTATATTTCTATTTCTAATGCAAAACACTTTGCCCTTAAGATTGTAAAGATGAGGGGGATGGCAGTTCTATACCAGAAATTGATCCTCACGAATTGTTAGACCCTGTTGATATTCTTTCTAAACTTCCAAAAGATTTTTATGACAAAATTGAAGCTAAAAAATGGCAAGAGCGAAAAGAAGCATTAGAAGCTTTGGAGACTCTTGTAAAAAATCCCAAGTTAGAAAATGGTGATTATGGAGATGTAGTAAGAGCTCTGAAAAAGGTATGTTACGTGTACTTTATGAAATTTATTATTATTATTATTGTATCTTTTAAATGTTATAAATAGGTTATATCCAAAGATACTAATGTGTTAGTTGTTGCACTGGCTGGAAAATGTCTAGCTGGGTTAGCAACAGGTCTTAAAAAACGATTTCAACCTTATGCAACAGCTTGTCTATCATCAATTTTAGAAAAGTTTCGGGAAAAGAAACAAAATGTTGTACAAGCTCTTAGAGATGCTGCTGATGCTATTTTTCTTAGTGTAAGTAGACATATAATAATAAACAGTATTCGTTTATTGTCTAGTTTTTTTTTATTTAACATCTCTGTATACCTAAATATTAGTTAACATTCGTTTGAATACAGCTTTTAGAATATGAGATGAAAAATCTAGTTGACTAGAACATTTTGAATGTAGTCATATATTGAAATATTATTATAGTTTTTGTTAATATTAGGTTACCATCGATACTATATTAGAAGACACACTTGCTGCATTAGATAACAAAAATCCTGCTGTTAAAGCAGAAACGGCTGCTTATTTATCAAGATGCTTTTCTCGCACACCACCGCAAAGTTTAAATAAAAAGCTATTAAAAGCATATACTGGTGTACTTTTAAAAACTTTAAACGAACCAGGTATGTTTTAAAATTAATTTTTGTAGTATTAAACTCTTCATTTTTTAAATGTATGATATACATTAAAGAGAAACATATATTTCAGATCCAACTGTTCGAGATACTTCTGCAGAAGCTATTGGCACAGCAATGAAATTGATTGGTGAAAAAGCTATGATGCCATTCCTAACAGATATAGACAATTTAAAAATGACAAAGGTACTTTATAACAATTTTTGTATTCGTAATTCATTAAACAGAAATTAAATATTTCATATTAAATGAACAATTTTGTACTCTTTTCTTGTATTAGATAAAGGAATGTGCAGAAAAAGCTGTAATACACGTTAAAGTTCCTAGTGCGCCAAAAGTAGCTGCAGACAGACCGAATACAGCTCCAAATAAACTTGAATCAACAAAATCTAAGGATTCAGAAATGAAAGCTCCAAAGAGACCTAATACTAGTACTGTTAAGAAACCAACTAAGAAACCAACTGCTTTGACAAATTCAGGTAGATATTGAAATTGAATATAATAATAAAGGTAATACTTATAATTGTATTAAATGACATTTAATTTTGTATATTAATTGCAGCTGTTTCAAAGAAGCCTTCTACTACAAAGACTCAAGCAGAAAAAAATTATAGTGCCGAAGAAATAGAAGAAATGGCAGCAGATTGTTTACCACCTGATATTATTTCAGGTCTTGTCGATAGTAGTTGGAAGAACCGTTTATCTGCAGTTGAACAACTTCTAGAGGTAAAGAAAATGCTTCTGTTCCATTTTTAAAATCTTATTTTATTCATAGACATCCATAATTTAGTAATGATGAGCAAAATAATGTGGTAGTAAATAGTAATTAATAAATAATATTAGGATTTTATTTTTCTAGTTTGTAAAACAGATGGATATAGCAGAAGGATCTACACAAGTTATTGTACGTACTCTAGCAAGAAAGCCAGGTTTCAAAGACACAAATTTCCAAGTTCTTAAATTGCGGTTGGAGATAGTAAAATATCTGGCAGAAAATTTTCCATTTTCAACGTAAGATTCATATCTAATGCAATATATTTATTTACAAAAAAAATGTATTCATTTATCTATTTTATTAATTAATTTCCTCGCAGTACTGTTTGCGAATATTGCCTCATGGATATAACCGAGAAATTAGGGGATGCGAAAAATAGCACAGTTGCAGGAGAAACTCTTTTAGCCATAGCGGAAGCAACAAGTTTTGAACATGTGGCTGATGAAATATTGGCATTTGCTTTCAATCAAAAAAATCCTAAAGTTCAACAAGAAACATTAGTATTGTTGAGTAGGGGTCTCACGGAATTTGGTTGTGTGTAAGTAATAGATTTGTTTTGAGCAAGATTCGCAAAATACATGAGTATAATATTATTTATATTGCACATATATATATATTTTAGTATCAATGTCAAATCTGTTATGGAAAATATAAAAAAAGCAGTTGCAGCAACAAATCCTGGTGTTCGTACAGCAGCCATTACATTATTAGGCACATTATATTTATCTATGGGCAAACCACTGCTTGTATTTTTTGAGAATGAAAAACCTGCTTTGCGTCAACAAATCGAAGAAGAATGCGAAAAGGTACACTTTCCATTGCTACAATGAATTGATATATGAATATGCCATTGCAAAAATACGTTTCTTCGTGCAAATTAATCTTTCTGTGAACAACATAATATTTTAGCGCAATGGTGAAGCTCCTCCGGTACCAATTCGTGGGGTAAAATGCAAAAAGGATCAAATAAGTGATGACGCTGATGATACTGAATTAGATAAGAAATCAAATGCTAATAGCGAGCTTGACATAAATAATCTCATTCCACGAGTTGATGTTAGCAATCAAATTTCAGAGAGTCTTCTTAACGAATTATCAGATAAAAATTGGAAAGTTAGTATGATACTATTTGTAATACTATTAAGATGGAAAATCTTTCCTAATATAAAATTAATTAAATTTTTCGTAATATTAGGTGCGAAATGAGGGTTTACAAAAAGTAAGTGGTATTATCTCAGAAGCAAAATTTATAAAAGGCTCTATCGGTGATTTACCACAAGGATTAGCTTTGCGATTGGTTGACAGCAATAGTAAGATCGCACAGTCAACTCTAGGCATATGCCAGGCATTAGCTGTGGCTATGGGTCCACCGGCAAAGCAACACATTCGAGTCCTTTTTCCTGGTTTCATACAATGTTTAGGCGATAGTAAAAATTGGATTAGGACAGCAGCAATTTCGTGTATAAACACATGGGGAGATCAGTGCGGTTATAAAGAATTTTTTGATGGAGAAATAATTGGAGATGCTTTAAAATCTGGATCACCGGTACTTAGGGCTGAGGTGTGGAATTGGTTGGCACAGAAATTGCCTCTGATTCCTGTAAAACAGATACCAAAAGAAGAGTTACGTGTATGTCTTCCATATTTATATAGTAATTTAGAAGATCGTAATTCTGATGTTCGAAAAAATGCTCAAGAAGCAGTGTTGGGTTTTATGATTCATCTTTCTTACGAAGGGATGGCAAGGAATACAGAAAAATTAAAACCTGGATCGCGAACAGTAGTACTTGCTGCGTTAGATAAATCTCGACCTTACCTACCTATCGAACCTCTACCAAAAAAACAAGCACCAAAAGAAAGTAATCAAAAAGTTGTCAAGAGTGCTGGAGCTATGAAAGCTTCGAAAGCAGTAGTGAAACCTAAACAGAATCAAGCAGCTTCGAAACCTAGCAGTGCTCGTAAGAAAGACGACGATGTGGATACAAGTCCGTTATTGGCTGTTAATAATCTCAAGCATCAAAGAGTGATCGATGAGCAAAAATTGAAGGTCCTGAAATGGAATTTCACCACTCCAAGAGAGGAATTTGTTGAACTTTTAAAGGAACTTATGACTGCTGCAAATATAAACAAAACTTTGATATCAAATATGTTTCATTCAGATTTTCGATACCATCTTAAAGCTATCGAGGCATTAACCGAGGTATAATGTTTATGTATTAAATATTTTGAGTAACATTTTTATAAGGGAATAATTATAGTATATAATGTTATTACAAATTTTAGGATCTGCCTGATAACAATAAAGCATTAGTGTCTAATTTGGATCTTATTCTTAAATGGTTGACACTAAGATTTTTTGACACCAACCCTTCTGTGTTATTAAAAGGTTTAGAGTATTTGCGAATGGTATTTAACCTATTGATAGAAGATAAATATCATATGTTAGAGAACGAAGCGGCATCGTTTATTCCGTATCTCATTATTAAAGTAAATCATTCATATTTTTCTCTTATAACATACATATTCATTAACATATGTTTATATATGTATTTATATATAATAAATTTTTGCTTAGATTGGTGATCCAAAAGACGCTGTGCGTAACGGAGTTCGGGCATTATTTAAACAAATAGCATTAGTGTATCCAGTAAGCAAATTATTTTCGTATGTAATGGAAGGTTTAAAATCTAAAAATGCTAGACAAAGAACAGGTACATAATACAAATGAAAATAAAACGTAAACAATGTGATAAGATAGTATTTAATTGTATCATTTTCTTTTTTGCTATAGAATGCTTAGATCAATTAGGTTCCCTTATAGAAAACTATGGGTTGTGTGTTTGTCAACCTTCTGCATCTGTAGCATTGAAAGACATAGCAAAACAAATAGCAGATCGTGATAATTCCGTTCGAAATGCTGCTTTGAACTGCATTGTACAAGTATATTTTCTTCAAGGAGAAAAAGTGTACAAGCTTATTGGTCAGGTAATAAGTTATATCCAACTGTATATCCAACTATATACTTTTTCTGCAGCTGGAATATAAATTGGTTCATTGTGTTTCAGATATCTGAAAAAGATCAGTCGTTATTAGATGAACGTATTAAAAGAGCTGCTAAAAATCGTCCAACAAAATCGGCTTCAACAAACAAACTTTCAACTGCTTCAAGTGCAACAGCAATTCCTTCTAGTGAAGATGTTAAAGCAGAATCTGAAGAAGAAAATGAAGAAACACCCGAGCCACAACCTATTCCAGCAGAATTAGAAGATGAACTGTATGTATTATATTTGTTATATATTTTCACAATTAAATTAACAAATTTTTAATTGTACATAAATAACAGTAAACTTTATCAATGAAAATTAACGTATGTATATTTTCATATCTTTGAATAAATTTAAACTTTTAGACAAGTTCCAACATCGACACAATCAAAAATAACGGGTCCATTCGGGCTCGATATGGATTATTTGAAAAGGATCGAATTAGACGCTCCTGTGAAGTACAGCAACCCCGTTCTAGTAGATATTAATTTAGACGATCTGAACATATCTCTTGACCCCAACGCGGCTAATCAGCCCAAAGTACCGTAAGTAATTATTATAATTTTGTTCTTCTAATATTCTAATATTGAAATAATATGGTACATATTTCAGGGTGATTTCCATTTCTCCACCGAAATTGTTAGTGTCAAAGTCCGCATCAGTGACGCAACAATTAAGTCCAGCTAATACTAGTAAAGAAGATAGTCTTGAGCGCAAAATACTTGCAATGTCTAGTTTGGATTTATCAGTAGCAATACAATCGATGAACAGTATAGATAATGTTTGTATTTATAATAATATATGTTTTATTGTTTACTATTTACAAATAAATATGCAATCTCAAATTATTTTTCAGTTGATAAAATCACATCAAGTTCTGAGTTTGCAGTCTAAAGAAGATAAATTTATTGGTTCGATAAACATGCAATTAAAATTTTTGCAAACGTATCCTTTACAACAGGGAGGAACAGATATCTCGAAGGGTTTCAGAAACACATTTATGGTTATTTTAGCGGTAAGAATAATTATAGATATAAAGTTTTGTTAATACGTGATAGGTACATTGTGTTTATTGTGAAATTATTTGCAGTTTTATGATAGTGGAATTCTTGGAAAGAATGTTCCGTTGATACATTTGAAAGAACTTGTGGATCAAATGATTAGTTTGTTAGCTGAGAACAAATTAAATCATTTATATCAAGCAGGAGTGTATTATCGTGTGATTAATAATATTGTCTGCAAAATAATAGACAATTCTAATCATACTACTATCATATGGTAAATTCCTAAAATTTAACATATGTTACTAATATTGAAATTCATATATATTTAGGAACTTTGATTTATTTACATCGTTTCAATTTTTAGTGCTTTAATAAAATTACTCCATGGGTGTGCTGACTCAACTTCACCTTCTAAATATGAAGAATTAGTTATGAAGTGTTTATGGAAAATAGTAAAGCTAATTCCTAACTGGGCAGCGGATTTAAATTATGATACTATTCTTTTGGAAGTGCACCGTTTTCTTAAAGTATTCTATTAAGTATATACATATTGCAAACATTATTTTTAATGTATACGATATTTATAAATTTATGCTGCGTAGGATTATCCAAGTGTGTGGTGGAAAAAACGAATACCGGATACTCCTTTACGGACAGTTAAAACAGTTCTTCACAGTATGACTCGCGTAAAGGGCAGTACAATACTCAGTCATCTGACACAAATAAATAACACAAACGAGTCGGAATTGCATTCTTATCTTATAAGGCTAATTGCGGTAAGTTCGATTACATGAATTATGAGATTGAAAAAAATTTATTATGTGGATTTTAATTTACTATTTAATAATATCTAACAGACTTTTAAGCCAGATGAAATTAACACCAATCCAAGGACAACAATAAAACCCGGCAATAGTGGTAAAACACAAGAACATTTATCAAAGTTTACTCATCAACAATTATCTGAAATATTTAAAAAGATTGGATCTAAAGAACACACGCAAGAAGTACGTGATATCAATAACAAATTATTTATTTCATGTCTTACAGTTTTTTTTTATATTGCAGTAATTACATTATATTTTTTGTACAGGGTTTAATGCAGCTGTATGATTTTAAACTTCAACATCCCGAAGCTGACGTACAACCTTTTCTGGTAAAGTCTCACCAATTCTTTCAAGACTTTATAGAACAAGGATTAAGAGACATTGATCAAGCACGAAAAAATCAAAATCTTGTACCACAAACCAATAATCAGTACTCGTCAGGTAAATGACTTATATAAAATATTGAAATGAAAATATTATTGTTTTTATACAATTTATGCTTAACAGGTACGACTGAGCTTGTTAGTCCCGATAAAAAAAGATTAGACTTTTTTCCATTACATAGGCTTGAAAAACTTGGAGCATCTGAAGCACAATGTAGAACAACTACCAGTCAGCTTAGTCCAACATGAATCAACCTCTCTTGACATTAAATAGGTGAGCATAAAATTAATTCCCATATTAGCCATTTACGGACGGAGGTTATGGAATACGAAAGTTAGTTAACAGTAAAAGATTAATAACAAATTAGTATAAAAATACCACCGATTATAAATTATAAATAGAATTTGTTTTCACAAATAAATGAATTATATTACAGGATTGCAGTGCTCGAAATGGATCCAGAACCAATAACACATAAATACAATATAAGATCAATAGGGCAGTCACGAAGAGTAATGCGGTATTAACATTAACTGTAGTATTTACGTTTCATTTTGCTAGTAGTTACGTATATGTTATGCTACTGGGATATAAAGTTTAACACGTTCGTAGTTACGTTAAGTGCAGTAATATGAACTTTATATAATTAATAGCAGTGTAACTTATACGTAATTACTAACAAAATTAAATGTAAGTTATACAGTAGTTTAATCTTAAGCATTTTAGGTAAAGTACGTAAGACTAACAGTAGCATTCATGTTTAATTTTATTAGTAGTTACACGTAGATTATGCTGCTACTAATTATATAAAATTTATTTGTTACAATACTTAATGTAACTACAAATGTGTTACACTACACGTATTTATCACTATTCAAATATGATAATTAAGCTATAACAAGCTAGTATTATGCTCTTTTTAGACTGATTTTTACAGCGGATTTTTACTTCATTAGTTCTTTTGACATAAATTGTGCGGTCTTTAATGTGTATTATAAATTATAAGCTCATTTCTGCGTTAAATCTTTATTTATAAAAGAAAAAAAAATTATATACATTTTATTATTTAATTACTGAAAAGTTGATTATACTCTGAAAGCATGTCTCTCCGTATTTATAATCACGGTATACGAATATAGATTTAATACGTTAACTTTTCGTGATAAAATAACAGTGTTAGATAAAAACAACAATAATAATTTAATATGAATGTCTTCAGGAATTTCTGAAAAATCTTACGTAGTGTAAATAGAGTATGTATATATTCTAATATTCAATAAACTATGTCTTACAATAATACTATTTTGCTGTTTTTATAAATTATGAACCAAGTCTTCACTTTATTTCTGTTACGATCTTGATTACTGATTAATTGACGATAATTACAACGAGAGGTAGTCAGAACTATGTCAGAAGTACGGTTGTTTGAAATTGTTTGTAACTATTTAAATAGTGCATAACGATTCAATCCACTAATAGAAGAAGATTCCTAGAAGCCTAAGCTTTAATTTGAGTATGAAAAAGTTCATGAATTATTTGCAAATAATCGATAAACAATCGATGTGCAGTGCTGTTTCCAGCGTCGGTGCTCTCTATCCTTCTCGCACAGTATATCTTTCTCTCTCGCACACTTTCAAGCGTAGACCTCTACTAGCGTCCTGTTATCCTATTACTCAGCCGGAGCTTCCCTGATCCA